TTAACAATCTCTGCAGGACGTACCATCCATTGTTTCTTCTCGCTTCTTCAATTCCTTGTACTTGACGTTTTGTTCACCTGAAAACAGAAGACAAACTCATTAGTGACTACTCTAAACTAACAAGTATGCGCACGATATGGAAAGAAAGAAAACTACAATTTCATCTTGGCTTCACCTTGCTTACAGCTTGTACAAGCCAGAGAATTTTTCACTAGCTTACCCTAAAATAACACACAGTGGCAAACTACATGTGCAGATAACAATAGTCGTACAGCAAAAGGCAAATTGACAACGTACAGCTTTTAAGTACATCTTGACATCAGGGCCTAAGGAATAAAACGTGTAAATATACATGTAACTACACTTTGTTACAAACAATCAGGGGTTAATTGCCTTGATGTTCTTCAAGATCCATGTCTAGCTGTTGAATTTCGCCATTGACCGTTTCAATCTTCTCCCGAAGCTCAGCAGTCCTACAACAGAAACGTTTTATTTCAGCAAGAGAATGGTTGGACACGTGAAAATAAAACTGTACACAGTCCCTGTATATTTTTCGATCAGCTTCTCAATTCAGTCAGGCTTTATAGTTGTCGCAACGCTACCAAGTAGTATTGTTTCAAAACTACTTGGACAAGGGGTGGGGGTGGGGGTGGTGGTGTCAAAACATCTGAACTATTTTCAATATTGTCTTAGATAAAGCGTTTAAATTACAGTTAGCACCCCAATCCCCTCCCTCTCACCACACACGAACTAGATGTCCAAGTTCCCCCCAGTATAACAGCAACTGGGATGCTCNGGGGGGGGGGTGTCAAAGCATCTGAACTATTTTCAATTGTCTTTACCAAAGCGTTTAAATCACATTTAGCACCCCAATACCCTCCCCCTCACCACACACGAGCTAGATGTCCAAGCTCCCCCCAGTATAACAGCAACTGGGATGCTCGTCGCATACCATTTGGAGTGTTCTATTCCAAATTTTCATAGTTGATTCATACTACAATAACTCTTGAAGTAACCTTTCAAACTAAATCTTGAAGAAACAAAATTTTAACCTGTTTCAAATGCCTTGTTTTGCCTGTGATGCGGCCCTTTACTGACCAGTGTTACTTGAAGCTATCAGTTTACAACGGTTTTATTACAGGTACTACTTTACTAGCAGAATTAATAGGGAGGAGCAGTGCCCCCTACACTCTCCCTTTGATCTCCCCTTCTGTTAGGAAACATATGACATTAGGCTACATCTCTGAAAATGGACTCTGGTGCCTTAAGTTATTTTTTTCACAATTTCAAAAGACGAACCCATTTCTTAAGGGATTCTTTGTCCCACAAGAACAAGCAATACACATACATGTATGTACCTGTACACAATTAAAAAAATACTAAGGTAAGGATCATTGACTCGTAAACTAAACATACTTGCGCTCCATTCTTGCAATCTCTTGATTATCCTCCTTTACCTGTTAAATATAAAATATGGAAAAGCAAACTTAAAACTAGTAACTCTTTAGCAAAGTTTGTGATAGATTTCTACACAGTTTGGGGCTCAAATGGCCAGCCATTATTCATGTTGATAGTAATACAGATCGATTAAAGGTCCGTATAGTAAAGGTCCCAGTTTCTTTCATTGTGCACGCTGCAGCCATCCTATTGCAAGTAATAACTGAGGACAGCCCTGCAACAGCATTTAGAAAATAACAATAACAAGGAGAAATAACATGGAGCCTCATCATAAGAGATGTTACCTGTTTCAGAAGTCTTTCTCTTTCTTCTGCAGGAGTTCCTCTGTTCTCCTTCTCCATCTCATCGATCAAGCTTTGTTTCTTCTCTCCCAGCTCATTTAATTTTTCATAGAGTCACAGAAAATACAATGGAGAAACACGGTTCAAACAAACGATTGCAGTGTATGCATGTACATGTAGTACTGCATAGCAGAGCATGTGATAAGCTGAAAGCAATACAGTACCACTCTAAAAAGAACAAAGAATTTTACAAAGTAACACAATCAAAATACAATGGACTACATGTGGCTGGGTAACTATCAGACAACAGGTATATGAACATCTCAGATCTCCTGCACATTTAAATAAATGCTATCAGTCAGCAATATTTTTCTTAAGTTTATTATGCTATTCAAGTTGGTTCTAACGTTTTAGTCTGTGGATAAAACCCAAGTGTGTGACCATTTAAATGAAAGCTATTGAGCAGTACTTTCATGTGGTACTGTTTATTACACTGTACAAGGTGGTTCTAACTTTTTAGTCTGTGGATAAAACCCTAATGCGTGACCATCTAAATAACAGCTAATGAGCACTTCTTTCATCTGGATCTGTTTATTATCCTGTTCAATGTGACTCTACTTCTAAGTCAACATGTGGCTGCTGTTGCAGAGTGAAAATATTGTGGAGTAGCAATGGTAGAACTTTAAGCATAATTTCCAACAAAACACCATTCATGGCTTCTCTTACCAGGTTCCTGTTTGACTGGGGAGCTGGACACTTCCTGTTGACATAAATCAACAAACACAGATACGTGTATGAATTAGTAGGGAGAGTTTAAGTTTGACTTAATAAAAGTGTTAAACTACTAACTTTGTTTGCATGATTAAATTTACATGTAATGTACTCCATTTTAACCTGATAAGCAGTAGTGCTAAAGGTAACCTATGAATGGTTCGGTTCAATTGCAGGCTTAAGTGACACAGTGTATACATTTATCTTTTCCCCTT